CCCCCCCCCGGTCAAGGGTGTCCCTCTTTTCCAATCTGAAAATCTGGTCACCTTAGGCTACGCGGAAGGTCTGGAGGGTGGTGAGGGTATGAATCTCCACGGGGAGTTCGTTCCAGAGGGTCGGAGCAGCCACCGAGAAGGCTCTCCTCCAGGTAGTTGCCAGCCGACATTGGCCGGCCGATGGAATTCGGAGGAGGCCTAATCTATGGGATCTTATTGGCCTAGTGGAGGTAATTGGCAGTAGGCGGTCCCCAACAACAATCCGGGTCCTCATTTTACCCACTTCGGAAGGATGGAAGGCTGAGTCAACCCTGAGCCGGTGAGATATGAACAGCCGAACTGCAGAACTGCAATCAGCTGAAGTAGCCTGCAGTGCTGCATTTAATCACTGCTTTGGTTATTTTCCAACTCATAGAGATAGCCTTATTTAGCCTCCAGTGGTCAGATCAGGTCAACAATTCCATGCCATTCTGACTGCTTTACTTTAAAAAGAATTGAGACAAACTGGAATGCATACAGAGAAGGCTAGTAACAATTATCAGTCAGCTAGAAACAGCTCTAAGAAGAGGGAACGAAGAGAGTAGGTGTGCTTAATCTTCAGGGAAGAATGAATTGTAAAATGATACTGTACTGTGACACTATTCAGGGTCACTTAGAAAAAGGCAGCAGGCTGTTCTCTATTATCATAAAATGCAGGAAATTAGATTCCAGCTGGATGTATTCATGCAGAAATTAGCTGGTAATGTCTCACAAATACTATAATTTAGATTCATACACTCAGAGAAGGATTGGCCTAAATAGTGCCTTCTAATTCTGTGACTTTATGAAATGGTTGTTAGATAATAACTTCAGAACTGTGCATTGTCAATGAAACAGAGTTCTGGAATCCAATGTAACAATTTAGTACAAATCTGTAGTAAAGTTCCATCATACCTTATTGATGTAAAGTAAGTCCAGTTAGCATTGGTATTGTTACTTAATACCTGTTTATATCTAAGCAAAGTACAAGATCTATTTTTCATATAGTTGATAGGAATTGCTTAATTACTGTAGTGATGATGTGAATTCAGCTGGGCTATTTGTATTCATGATAATGTAAAGAAATTTCCACAGTATTGTTTAGTACAGTGGGACCTCGGGTCCCAAATGGCTCAGACACAAACAATTTGGGTGCTGACTGAAAAATCTGCTAAATGTTTCACTCATGTCACAAACACATCCTCAGGTGCCGAATAAACACAGCTGCCACGATTTTCCCTGACATGGCAATTTCCCCTTCTGACTTCCGCGCCATTTTGCGTGTATGCGCGCATGCGCAGTCAGTCTTGCTTCTGATCATGACCAAATCAGGTGTTGACCGAAGTCCTGGAACGGATTATAGTCGGCACCCAAGGTCACACTGTATGAGTAAACTGGAGCTACTAAAGGGCTCTCTAGAGTATATACTTAGAATACCTTCCCTTTCAGCAAAGGCTGCAAAGCAGAGTGAGCCCATTTGTATCAGGTAACAAAGGTTATGAGTCTGAAAGCAGTAAAAAAAAGTACTTGAGGTACAGCCATGGCTGCCATTCATTCTGTTCTGTGGCCTCTTTGTGGCCTCCTGGTTTTACATTTGGCCAGAAATTCTGTTCCGATACTACAGTGTTGGTAAAATTTGTCTGCCAGGCTGGATGACTTTTTATAGATGAAGTGTTGATAGCATCTTGCTTCAGGACTCATCTTGACCTGGAGTAGTGCTTTTATTTTAATTGGAGTGGTAACAGTGGTGGGTTCCTACCGATTTGGCCCGGTTCAGCCGAACTGGTACTGATATGGCGGCCTGGGTCCCTGGAAGCAGCAGCAACCCGGGCCTCCCCCACCACCAACCTGTTCCCTGGCCACCATCGCTATCATCTTTTTTGTGAGTTCTGCGCATGCGCAGAACAATTTTAATTGAAGTGTGCATGCGTGTGAAGCATGCGCACAAGCGAACCAGCAGTAAAGCCGGCCGGAAATCTGCCCCCCCCGGAGTAGTAACCATATTAATGAATGAAAGGAAGAGTTATATTTTTGTTGGCCTTTAGAAATGGGTTGTTTTTATTTCTGATGTGATGGTGTTAGCCTCTTTTTAAAAGTTCACTATCAATTTATAATAAATTGCATTGTACACTAGCTTGCAGGTGTAAAGTGAATCAAACCACCGTATTTGTTTTGGATCTTGTTTTGGCCAACTTGATTAAAGAAAGCATCTTCTAATATCCAGATTGTAAGCATAAGCTATTCTTATATATTAGATACTGTAATGATTCCAGTAAGCTTCAGAACCTGATGGCCTCTTTAAAGCTAATATGTTTATTGTATCAAATTGTTTATATTCTGCTCTAATTATTGTGCCATATTCCTAAACAGTAAGAACAATGGAACCAATTTAGCCAAAAATATGGTAGGCTATATGTGTTCTGTTAGTAGCCAAATGCACATATGTGTAAAATGTATACACAATGGCTGATGCAATTACAAAACTCTCGGTAGCTCATAAGACAAAAAAGAACACTAAATAAAGTAAAATAAAATAAAATATAGACCTAAAGCAAACAAAACCCAGTACTAAAATTGGCATCCAGACCTAACAATTGAATATGGTGGCCTACTTGTTCCTTCTATATAATTATATACTCTATACTCATACTCATCTAGAGAAAAAAATGAATACATATAATAATAGTAATAGCACTTAGATTTATATACCACTTCCAGTGGTGGGTTTGTACCGGTTTTACTAATGGTTCCCTTGTGTATGTGTGCTCTCTCTCGCACGTGACAGTTCTGTGCATGCGCAGAAACATCCGGGTGGGTGGGTGGAGCCTCCTGCCACCACCGCCACTACCGGTTCGGCCGAACTGGGAGCAACCCACCTTTGACCACTTCATAGTGCTTTCCAGCCCTCTCTAAGGAGTTTACAGAGTCAGCATATTGCCCCCAACAATTTGGATCCTCCTTACACCAACTTCAGAAGGATGGAAGGCTGAGTCAACCTTGAGCCTGGTGAGATTCAAACTGCCAAATGGCAGTCAGCAGAAGTAGCCTGCACTCGTGTGGTGTAACCAGTGCACCGTGGTTTATTAATTAATAAATTGTGTATATGTATCGTGCATACACACACTTAAATATGGCAGGAGGGGCTGTCATAGTAAGGTCCAAGAGATATTGGATCAGAAAATACAGTCATTAAT